GTGTAAGTTCAGGCAAGGGAGGAATATGAGGTTTATGGGGGAAATGGAAATCTTAGTCATCCATGAGCATGTTGTGTTTATGGGGATGATAGTGCATCTGAGTGGAAATATTCCATGCTAACTAGGAAAAGGGAACTTGGGGAAAGTCAAGGCTAGAAATCTGGATTCGGGTGCCATCTGCAGAGAGATGATAGGATTACTCAGATCAGTAAAAGAGAACAAAGAATATTGGGACTAGAAGAAAAAGATAAAAGAATTAATAAAAGAAACAGAAATGACCAAAGAGGTATTAAAAATCCAAGAAGGTATAGAATCATAGGACCTAAAGATAGGATAGTCAACAGCGCCAAACACTGCACAGAGAGCGGGTAGGATGAGGATTATGAAAAGAATATTGGATTTGACAGGTGGTCACTGGAGACCCTTGGAGATTGAGTAAGGAAAGAGATTGGTGACCAAGTCAGATTTCAGAGGCTCAAGCAGTAATGATAGATTGGAAACAGATGAATAGGATAGTAACAAAAAGGGGTAAGAATGTCAAGAAAACTTTTTTTTTCAAATAGAAACTTCTTTATCATTGACAATAATATGGGAGATATTGATAGAGAGGCAGATTTAAGATGCATCAGAGGAAAAGAGTATGTTGCCTCTTGTCAAGTTTCTTTGTTTTTAGTTGCATATATATCCTTACATTCTTTCTATGAATGCTGATTATGTCAGTCCCCTGCTGAAAGACCTCTCTGGGTTCCTCATTGCCAGCAGAAATTGAATATCCTTGGCTTAGCAGACAAGATGCCTTGCACTCTGGTTTTAACCTCCCTTTCTCATTTCATCTTTTGCCACTCAGGGGACAGAAGATTTCAGATTCTTTCCAGGTTGGGTCTTTGTACACATTGCTCTCTCTGCCTGGAAGATCTTTCTTCCCATCTTTCACATGGAAAATTCTAACATCCTTCAACACCTGGCTCAAATGTCACCTTGATTTTGAACCGTTTCCTGACTCACCAGGTCCAGTTCAAGTCTCCCTCTTTGGTGCTTCAACTGTAAGCTGTCCATTCATATTTTTGTCTCAGCTTCTGCATTATAATTCATCAATTTCCATAGCTATGTTCTCCATTAGACAGTATGGTCTCTGAATACAGGGATTGTCTTTTTTATTGTTGTAATCCCCATGGCTGGTACAAAACAAACTCTTGCTAAAAGCATCAGGAATGAATGAATGAGTATTAACATAAGGATATATATCTTGAGGTATATAGGATAGAAGTGAAGATGCATCTTAGTGCTGAGTGAAATAAGCCAGAGACAGAAATACAAATACTGCATGATCTCACTTATGTGTGGAATCTAAAAAAAGTCAGACTTATAGAACCAGAGTATAGAACGGTGGTTCCCAGGGGTTAGGGTGTGGGGGAAATGAGGAGATATTGTTCAAAGGATACAAACTTTCAGTTTTAAGATTAATAGGTTCTGAGAATCTAATATACAGCCTGCTGATTATAGATAGGTAATACCATGTTGTATACTTAAAATTTGCTGAGAGTAAATCTTGTGTTCTCACCACACACACAAAAAATGGTAACTATGAGGTGATGAATGTGTTAATTAACTTTATTATGGTAATCATGTTACAATGTATACATGTATTAAATCATCACATTGCACTCCTTTAAAAATTATGTTGTACACACAAAATATATATGATTTTTGTCAATCATACCTCAAAAAAGTTGGGGGAAAACAAGCTATGTGAATTTGAGCAAGTTAATTTCTCCAAACCTGAGTTTCCTATTGGTCATATGAGGATAATACTTACCTTATAATGTGCTTGTGAGGATAAAATCTACAAAATATACACCAGACAATTTAATGACCAGCATATAATTATCATCAATGTTACAATTATTTCCAACTCCTGCAGTCATGGCCTGGATCTCTTATTAGTTTCTCTCTGGTGTTGGATTAGGCTGCAACTTTAATCCATTCTGTAAAGAGGAGAGGTTTTTGCTTGTTTTTTAAGTTAAATTTTGATGTTAAGGAATTTAAACTCAAGTCCATCTTTATGCAGCAGTGTTTCATCTACCTAAATGATGCTATCTGATTAACAATACCCATTCCAGCATCAAGTGAATTCAACAAAAATCTAGACTTAAATATATGGGTTGATTTAGTAAGTTCACATTTAAGTCTGAATTGTTTTGTGAGTCTCCGAGTAACTTTCCAGAGGAGGCTGTAGCTTCGAAGCTGACTAAGCCGGCTCTAGGGACATCCTTCTTGTCTTATCTTCAGGATTGTGTTGCCCTGAGTGATTTAGATCAGCTCCTTCTATTTTTTTTTAGCAGAATTTTTGTGGTTAATAAAAACATGTGCTTACAGCTTTTTGCATAGGTAAAGGAAAAGATTCCACATCAGATTTAGATCAAGAGATAGATTTTCAGAAGAAAATGATGGATGTGTCCTCTGGGAGCAGCGGAATGCAGTGATGTTCTGTCTCTGACTGACTGAGTTTAAGGCATTTATGAACACTTCCACGCCCACACCCACGCAGATACACAAACAGTGGTCACTGCTGCAGCTCCAGACGCTGCCTCTCCCCACTCTCGTTTCCAAAGTGCATCCGTTGTTGTCCATAACATGAAATAAATCCCTCTCTTTTGCCCAGTGGTGAAAAGCTTATATAAATACTAAAACTTCAACTATTCCCCTGAGTTTTCTTTTGGCGAGCCTGCAGCTATAGGTTTGTTTGGATATTGACATGCATTTTCTGTGCAGATCTTTCAGGACACTTGGGTGAATCCAGTGGTGATAAATTCACTTGTCTTGAAAATCTATCAGACTATTATAACACTCTGTTTATGAAAACTTAAATAATTGACACCCGGATTGAAAAGGCTCCAGGTTCAAAGTATCTCTTTTATTCTTTCAGCACATATCATTCTGGGAATATCTATCTATCTATGTATCTATCTATGTATCTATCATCTATCTATCTATCTGTCTATCTGTCTATCTATATACCTTAGGAAATCTTGGCCAAGAGATGACTTTAACAGTCATTGGAAAGAAAACATGGATGTGAAGACTCGATTAATGCAAGACATTTAACTTTGCATCGTGGTGTTTCCATGAAAGAATATTTTCCGATATTTAGAAATGAGGTATTTTATCGTGTATAAGTAGAGATAGTTAACATTACTGAGCTGTAATTAAAATGTATAATGAAAAATATTTATTCATCATAATGGAGAGAAAAGGGAAGGCATTGTATTTAAAGACAATAATGAATGCCTGGTATATAATAGGCACTCTCTAGGTGGTTGTAGAATAAGTGGATGTGAGTAGGATTAATTATATTCCTAGTGAAATGTAATACTACCTTAATTAAAAACTTTTACCATATTTTTATGTAAAAATTTATATGATTGAACATTATTGTTTATATAGTAGTCTGTTAGAGAATACATTAATTCAAATTTCCTCTGTTTTTTTCTTTTTATCTATTAGATGACAGTTGGAGAACTGTCCTCAAAATATTGACACTGTTTTACACTTTTTTTAATGGTAAAAGAAATGAATTTCTCTAGTATAATTTCCCATGGAATCTGCAGATATGAGATTAATTCTAGCTATGTATAAGAGAGTTGAATAGAATTCCATGAATACTAAGTATTTCTACTATATTTCCAATAGTCTTTCCATATTAGTGAAGCATTTTACTTGCTGCCAATAATCTACTTTAGTTAATGAATTTTAAAAATCTCTTTTCACCTAGTTTATGACTTATCTAAAAATAGTTTGCTACTTAACAATTAGCAATTCTAAAATTCTTCATATATTACAAACTATGATTGTTAAGTTGTCTTTAAGAATCCCAGATTTTGTTTCTGTGTTCACTGTCTTAACAGAGAAGAAATATAAAACAGTAAATCTCATTAGTGAATTAGATCCCCTTTCCTCAAGACCTAATAGAGAAAATAAAGTAAGTCAAATAAGCTTTTATGTCTGCGAAGTCCAATTTTAAATTATACTAAAAAGAAAACAGGAGTAAAGGACTTGGATGAATTTGAGTGTTGTTGACTAAACTGAGATATCAGTCTTTACATGTCTAGATTTTTTCTGATTAGTAAACCACAATACAAATAAATAAGTACCTAAGGCTGTTTTTAAAAGGCCAATGGTTTGTAGCTTTTAATTCTGATGTACTTTAATGTAATGGAGGTAAAATGTACAGTTTTCTTTTAAAACAACTACGTTGATTTATTTTTTGTTTTGAGGAATAATTTAGTACATCAGTGTCTACCTTAACCTGATATACTATGCCTGAGACTTAAAAAACACTTTGCACAATGACATCATGCTCAAAATTGGAATGATATTATTATTATATTCATAAAGTGCTCAATACCACATTTGTAACTCAATTAATACCATTTTCCACATAATCTCTCTTCTCCAAGGGACTCTCTGTCAAAAAGTACATAGGTACAGAAATGGGAGGAATTATGTCTCTAATGGTAGATTTTCAAACAATGGGAGCTGGGTGGATATTCTTAGCACTACAGAGCAATTCAAGTCCTTTCATATAGGCAACAGTCTCTCAAAACTAGGAGCAAAGAAAGTCTAAAAAACATATTTTTGTTATTATTGGTTGCTTTGAAAGAGGGCCACATGAGAAAAAAAGTTGTGTTACATTCTTTAGAGTCTAAAAATGCATGCTTGGGGCCGACCCAGTGGCGCAAGCGGTTAAGTGCGTGCGCTCCGCTGCAGCGGCCTGGGGTTCACCAGTGCGGATCCCGGGCGCGCACCAACGCACTGCTTGGCAAGCCATGCTATGGCGGCGTCCCGTATAAAGTGGAGGAAGATGGGCAGGGATGTTAGCCCAGGGCCAGTCTTCCTCAGCAAAAAAAGAGGAGGATTGGCAGATGTTAGCACAGGGCTGATCTCCTCACACACACACACAAAAATAAATAAAAATGCATGCTTTTTTGGTCTGTTTCTAGGTTTGAAGAAGAAATGACCAGTAAGTGGTTATACCTCTTTGAAGGCAGTGGGGTCCCGTATGGCCCAATCAACAACATGAAGAATGTATTTGCAGAACCCCAGGTTTGTTTTTTGGAGTTTTTAATACATTGTGGTTAAAAACACAAGAATTTGCCTCTCTTTTCTATCCAGATTGATTCATATAAATGTACTTTAGCTGTTGGTCTTGAGCTTAAGTCACATAATGTTTTTTTTACTGTTGCGTTAAACTGTGGGTCTGAAATAAAAAGAATTAGAATTTAGAACTGGCTGTCTACAATCATACTTTCATGTCTATCAGATCTAACATATTTCTTCAGCAGCTTCTTCTTAAAGTTTCCAAGGTCAGAACATTTGTTTTTCCTGAAAAATAGAAATATAGACAATTTAGAGGGCGAGGTCAGGCACTCAGAGATCATTCTCTGTAGAAAGAAATTTGAGAACTTTCACAGTGGTAGTCCACCTCTCATCATATGGCTATCTTAAAATGTATAAAGCAGGTCATAGTTAATTCTGCAAATGAGAGATTTCTATATACTTTGATTAATTTGCATTATTCATGAAGAATAACTTGTACTTGAATAGAGATTTGTGCTGTACATTGCTTACTGGCTCCTTCTCGGGGCACAGGATAAGGATCACCTGAAAAAACATTTCTTCTGTAATGTTGTTCAAATGATTATTTTTAGATGATGTCAATATAATAAGTTGTGATTTTTATTACTTTAATCACTATCACTGCAAGCAATTTACCATTTTTCAGATTTACATATTAATCCCCCAAAGTACAGGAACTCCATTTTTCTGTGAAGCTTTCACTATGATTATTCACATATCTTGTCAGTTTCCAGTATTTCAGAATTATAGGGTTTTTAAAATTCTTTTTATTTATATGGTAGCAGATTTTTTCTTTGAAATGAATTATTGAAAATGGAATACACATTTTTAAGGGAGGAAAACTTTGTTGAAAATTGACCTAACTCTTTAACTTTGATACCTTTGTCTTACGTGAATATTTTTTTAAAAGAGAATTGAAATGCATTTAATTCAATGGTTATGATATTTACTGGAGGAAAAAAAAAGTGAATGAATTTAAGAATTCTACTTTGTGCTATTTTTCTGCCGAGATTGTGAGTATGGCAAAGTTTTGTTCATAATAAAACAATGGTCAATAAGTATTTGATGAGGGGGCCCACTTGATACATACTGAGTTTATGTGAAAGGGTCCCCCCATCATCAGTGGATTAATGCCTGGTGATTCCTTGCCATGGGGAGCAGTGTATACACACTCTGAATGTGGTAGACTAAAGGGCTAGTCTTCTCACTTAATAACTTTGAATGAGGCCAAACTTTGCCTTTAAGCTGCTGTGGGGGAATGAGTGGGTTTTACCATTACTTCCCTGCTTCAAAGTGGTACTGAGGTGTGTAGGACTTCACGTTTAACTCAATTTGAGGACACATTTCTCTAGAGATAATTCCTGAGAGTTTTTCCATCGCCATTTCTGTTGCCCCACCTGTGTTTCATCAGAGGTAAAGGCACCAAAGGAAAGAATATTATTTAAAAATCATTAGATGTATTCTAATGTTACCTGTTTTTCAGGCTTTGATGAACAAGGATCCAAGGTCCTAACACTCTTAAAATTGTTCCCTTTATGGGCTAGTTCAGATTGAACATAGGATAATTAGGAATTTCATTCCCAAATTTCCCTTGTAGTTCAGTTTAATTACTTTAATCTTTGTATCTCAACTCTTTTGGACCTGCAAGAAATTTCTGTTATTGGTCTATGGCATATTTTAAGTACTTAGCCCATTTTCCAAATGGAAAAAATTGATATTACCTAAGCCAGGATACCAACTTTTCCTACTAACCCAAAAGTCTGAAAACTGCCTTCTTACCCTCCAAAATGTAGATTCTAAATTGTTACAATTCTAACATCAAAAATTCTTAATCAGGGCCCGGCCCGGTGCCACAAGCGGTTAAGTGCGCTCACTCTGCTGCGGCGGCCCCAGGTTCATGGGTTCGGATCCCGGACGCGCACCGACGCACTCCTTTCAAGCCATGCTGTGGCGGCGTCCCATATAAAGTAGAGGAAGATAGGCACGGATGTTAGCTCAGGGCCAATCTTCCTCACAAAAAGAAAAAAAAATTTCTTAATCATACAGTGATAGTTATTGACCATTGTAGCCTAGTTACAAGCGTAGAGTTGGTCTCTTTTATATATAATTTCATTCTTCATTGGAATTTAAATAGCAAAATGTACATGTAAAATTTATATGGATTTTTAGAAAGACTACAAAGCAATGTAGTACTATTACATTTTAAAAATGAGCAAAGATGACTATGGCAATTGTAAGGAGGACTGTTCCATACAAGAGGTAAGGGCACCATCTTTCCCCTATGGTTGGAAGTGTTTGGTTCTTTTAGAAAGAATCCCATAAAATTTGAATTTTGAAAGGAATATAGAATGTGGAAAAATCAGAGTGTTTTAAAAAATTAGTGTAAATTATTTTTAAAAATACCTTTAAATTATTAAAAAAAAGAACAACCTTCAGGTGACATCTAAAAAATGACTACTTAGAAAGTTCATTCAAGAAACCTTTATTGTACTTACTATGTACCAGATGCTAGGGATTTAGCATGAATTTAGTAATTCTCTTCCCTCATGAAAAATAAATTCAAAATTGACTTAAATAGCAGGTACAAATAAAAATTTGTTGATGCATGAATCAGCAAATGAGTGAGTTGACTCTGCAAGGTATTGGTTTTCCCAATGATCAAGTGGCTACTGTGCATCCCTGAGTGGGGCTGGCAACCTCTATTTGTAGGGCTGGCTGGACATTCTTTGGTTGGAAAACTCAGGGGACTAAGCATAACATGATAGTTAAGACCATGGAGTCAAAATTGTTGGGCAGTTTTATAAACTTTCTAGGTTTCAGTTTCCTCAGTGGTAAAGTGGTGAAATAGGATCTTTTCTCTATATTGTTGTGTGTTAAATGCAGTAATGTTTATTACAGGCATATAGTAGGGATTGCCAGATGGTAAATGCTCATTGAACGGTAGTAGCTCTGTTAATAATGGTGCCCTTTTTGGTTATATTTTTGTTGAAAAACACCTTCTTTTACTTACCTTTGTTTAGTGGATAGAGGCAAATCCAGTGTAGCTTCAGGAATGGGGATCATTAGCTTACATATAAAGCTCTAACTAATATCTTTTTAAGAAAATGCATTTGCAAGCTCTGTGCCAAGAACTTCTCAACCCTTCATTGTTTCTGATTACTGCAAATCCTTTTATTTTTCATTTTCTGTAAAAGTATGATTTCCGTTTAAGGTGTCCTCCCTTGTTTTTCCCCTGATGAGCTGTGGAGTTTCTTGGCCCTGGGTACAGGGAAGCGGCCACTTCTGTTCCAATGTGGGACTGCACCGCTGGCGCCTGTGGCCCGATTCTCCATGTGCGCCCTGCCAGCACAGCTGCTAGTTCAACTGAAAATTGATTTGGGTGAAGTACAAGGCCTGGAATATGGCACAGGAAATGAGACTTTGGTGAAGTGAAAAGGGGTATGTCTAATCAAAAAAAAAACAGGATCAGAAGCATCAAAGAGCAGGAGAGAATTTTCTGTGGGCCTACTTATCAAGTGGACCATTTACATTTCATCTGGGGTTTGAACTTGGTAGATAACTAAAATTTACTTAATGGTAGAGACTATTTCTCACCTAAATAATTTCATCATAGTTTCATGTTCCAAGAAAACTTTATTTTTTTACTCAGCCGAAACAACAGATGATTTTTTTTCTTGGATGGATGCAAGTTGTCTACCTTTTATCCTCTGATTATATGCTGCAGACCTTTGCACAGTTAACATGATCCTACTGGCATCCACTGTTACGTCCATCAAGAATACTATGGGAGGTTTTTGCCTGTATTTACTGATAGCTCTGAGAAATTTTGATCCAAAACCCTTTTAGTGATAGTTTTATTGTTTTTCTCCCTCACTGATAAATAATCTGTGAAAACCTCTGTGCATTATAGAAGTATAATATAGATTATCTGCATATAGATTTTAATTGTCATTTTTCCAAGCGCTTTCTTAAAATATCTTCTTTTAATCAGGCCAAGATTGTGCAGTACATTAAAGGAATTCTTAAAAAGTTTAAAAAACTTACTAGATGACCTCAGTATGGTCCTATTTAACATACCCTTGGGAACATGTGCATGAAATACCTTGTGGTTTGAAGTTTTCCAACTCAAACAAACTTAAAAGAAAATGCAGCTTTTGATAGAAACTATTCAAATTCCTGCAAAAATAGGTATGTATCTCACCACTGAGAGCATTTAAAAGCATCTTTGTCTATCATGAGAGGCAAAAGAGAATGTGTTATCCTGCTTTCTCTATTTTGCTTAAGATTGTATATTTGGCGATTCTAGTGTATCACCATCTCTGAATGAACTACTCAATTAAAAAAACATATATATAGGAATGACTGAACCTCTGATTAATGTTTTTCTTTCTTCTCGATGCCATGACATGTGGGTGGGGAAGAGAGGGCAAAGGGTGTCACAAAACTGGTGTTATTTAATAGAATCTTCACATTTGTACCACACAAGTCGAATCCATCAGGTGTAAGACATCACTCTGAAGCATCACTTCTGAGAACTATTGGGAGGGAAATATCAGAACTGAAACATCACAGCTGGCCCTGATTTTAACTGGGGCCAAACACCTGCAGGCTCTAAAAGGATACCAAAACAGAACCCCACCCTGTGGCAGCAAGCCATCTCTTAACAACCCTTCCTTAACTTTGCATCACCATCAAAATTAATTTAACATTTTCTACAGAAACTTTATTCTTCCTGTCCCAGAAGGCCATTACGACTCATTTTGCAAACCTTTCGTATGGGATAAGTATGTCATAGAAACAAACAGAGTGAAGTATTGAAATATTTGATAGCTTAAAATTATCTGTTTTCATATCATTATTTGAGGAAGCCTGTGAAGTTGGAAGTTTTATTAATCTCTAGGCTAACTCATATTCTCTAAGTGATTTTGTTTTAGCACACTTTGGCAAAATATCTGAGCATCTGGAAA